TTTAAGGTAGAAAATAGAAACAAAAATAAGAAGTGTTTATGACTTGGTGAAATAACTAATTAAAAAATATTTCACCGAATATGATCTGTTGAGGTTATTATGCCAAACATTAGCCGTCGTGGCACAGTCATTTGACTGTCATTATTAGGGTTTTTTTTAAAACGTAGGAATCTTGGTCAAAAGCAAGAATTGGAAACTACCCGATGTCTGCCCAAATATTGTCCCCATCTTCTTAAATGAGTTTCAATTAACTTAAGGAGACACAGACAATCGCGTACCTTGATTAGTTAGGGCTACTAGTTAGGTCTCGTATATAATAAAGTTAAGCGCGATTGTTTTATATAATGGACACTGTTCGGGTGAACACTCAAGTTGGTCATACTGATAGTGTACTATCTGGTGATAACACTTCCCCATCGGACGCTTGGCCGTTATAGTTTTCTAATTCACTCCAACAATGAACCACACGTCGTCGACCTCGATTCACCGTGCATTACTGCATGTCCAAAGAGCGCTATCAACTTTACAGCTTTTAGGTTACCCTGTGGGTGACTGCGACGTCACTTTAGTGAGGGCCATTGTGAAATCTATGGATGTTGTTTTATTGCAAGAATGGGAGTAAGTTCTGGACAGTCGAAATCTTGTATCCTTACCCTCTGTCCATGAACTGATCCTCTATTTACACCATGCGGCAACACTCGCTGACATCGGCCCACTGCAGTCGTCCTCAGAGCCTTCTTCGTCCACTCGTCCAACTCCATCTCCGTCGCTCTCGTCCATTCGTTCATCTACCACAGGCGCTGTCTCAAGCCAACCCACTCCAACTGCTGTTGAGTCGTCGCACCAACCCCAAGAGAAGGTGAAATACACTGTGACAACGGAAAGGTGCCCATTGTGTTCGGCATTCCACCCCCTTCGTACATGCACAACATTCCTTTTAGCCCCTGGCATCAAAAGATACCATATTGCCAAAGAATATGTCCTTTGTTTATACTGCCTGTTACCAGGGCACAGGGCTGTACGCTGCAAGGAACAAAAACCTTGCCGTATCTGCAAAGGCAATCATTCTCATCTGCTCCACATCGACCACAAACCTCTCACAGGCTCCCCATATTAATGTATCTAAATTCCTAAACAATAGTCTTTCTTCATCAACAATAGTCTTTCTTCATCAACAATAGTAACTCTTCCTCAACAATAGTCTACTCTCAAGATTCAATGTCTTCACTCAACCATATTTGTCCAAATCACATCCTTCGACCATCAGCTCAACATCCTGTCAGTCCTTCAACCACTGGACTACTGACCTATCCATATAAAGGTGCATACCTTTATGGTGGGCGGTATGTTCGGGTGAACACTCAAGTTGGTCATACTGATAGTGTACTATCTGGTGATAACACTTCCCCATCGGACGCTTGGCCGTTATAGTTTTCTAATTCACTCTCTCGAGAACCGTCGCTTTTTTTGTTGTCTTTGTTATTGTAAAAACCGCGTTATTATATCGCTCTCGTTGTAAACTATATTTTTTCCGCATAACCTAAACATTATATTTTTCTTTGTTATAACAAAAATCGTCCGTTTGGTGTCAATTCGTTTTGTTAGCCTGTTTGAATCGGCAGTGTAATACGAAACCAAATTTGTGTAATATTAATTGGTAATAATTTCAATCGTTTATTTATTATTTGTTGTTTATATACCTTGTGGTTCGCACATTAGCTCACATTACCCATAGGGTACATTGTCATTTGTATGAAACTATCTTGAAATCTATTAACTCTATTCTGGATTGTAACAATACAATTCTTCTATTAAAACTCAATCAGCAAACTGTTAAAGTGCGAGCCCCTTAGTACAGTTGTTCAGTATTATTTAATTTAGAATTTAGATAAGTTAAAATTGTAGTTAAGTTTCTAGTAATTTATGCTACGATTATCTTTTATGTTATTTATGGTAGTACAAAGCAATTCAAATCCATTAGTCCACATAAGTTAAAGTAAATTAATAGTTGAGTTGCTCAGTTAATAGTTTATTTGATTAATTGTTTATTGTAATGAAATTAGTCGTTTGTTATATTATTATTACAATTTGATTTAATCGACCACTGGTCTTTGCACTATTAAAATTAACTTTGTCCTTTGGCTATTGAACTCTAATGTTTGTCCATTTGATTATAAACTTATAATTTGACACCAATTGTTTTTTTCATATATTTGATTCAACCACTTCTCTTGAACAATTTTATTATTTATCCCTCTCTTAATTTGTTAACGTTCATAGCAATTATACTTGTGTTTTGTTCAATACCTGCTAGTTTCTTACTTTACTTTGTTAATATAATTGTACAAAATAATCAAATTTAAGTCTGTATTAAATCATACTCTTGTACTTTGCTCATTGCAATAAACTTACTTATTTCATTGAATCATGTTGCACTGAATATTCATATTTTCATTTCACTCTTGAGCACATATACAGTCCACTATCTCCAATCATATATTATAAAGACCTAACTGAGCACATATTACAGGTAAGATAGTTATAGCATTGGAATTAATTGGCTTACACATGGTACAAATTTTATTTACTTTTACTCGTATAATACTTGATGTTATAATTTTTATTTAGTTTAATTGTTCCAATTCCTCCCTATCCCTCCACTCCACGCACATTCCTATACAAATAAATCAGATAGTCACACTAGAAAATCAACTGACTAACCGGCTTTTCTCTTGTCGCCTTCGTAAGAATAGGAGTTCGTTCACTGGTCAGTCCTGTTCCTAACAGACACAGTAAAGTTTATATTTTTTATTTTTTAATTTATAGTACGTATCATAAGCTTTAATGAAACATACGATTAATTTCCGGAACATTATCAAATTATAAGTTGAAAAAATTGACTCTTGTGAAAATGTTGCTATTTTAATACGCCCTTGTGTGCATCGACGTGAGGCATTTATCGGACTTAACTCCACGACGATTTCGCGTGTATGTAACAGTTTGGTTTACAGTGGAGCAGAGGCTGAGAAGGAGCTGACACGACAGCGGGATGTTAAACGGGTGACAACGCCGTGACCGTGTCAATTTTTTAAAAAGCTATAGCAGTTTTAAGTAAAACAAATTGAAAACACGTAGAAAATTAATGTTTTTTAAAATTGTTTTTTTTTTTGAAGATTTCCCCTATTTACGGTGAATGAGGAAAATATTTTCATATTTTTGAAGATAATGTCTTTGAGGTAGATTCGATTTGGGATTTTTTGACGTATCTTTGAAAATCTGACCCTTAACGTACCACTAAATAATAACATTTCCAATGAATAAACTTTTTTAACTTATCTGTAAGCCACTCCTGAGACACCCTACTCTGTAAATTATTATTATATGTTTATATAATACCATAGGAATATAATTTTATTGGGAGGATCATTCCTTTCGATCCATAGAAGGCTTGTTATGAACTTATGTAAAACATTGCTGTCGGTCATTATATAGTAATCTTCATACGTCAGTTGCGAAGTGACAAAATGAAGGTGTGACTTAAGCTTAATCATTTGAAATGTTGAATTATTTAACATGAAATAATTAAGATATGAATACTAATGACTTGTAAGAATGTTAGCATCAAATTTTAATTTATCGTTTTCATATAAAGATATTGGTTTAAATTCTATCAAATATGAAATGTGAGTAAGTAGGGGGCGGTGTCGCGCAGGCTTTTAAATGTCATCTAGTTTTTAGTCGGCAACCGGACATCGTTTGTGACAATGACGCGCTGAAAGCGAAACGTCGTATCGTAAAGTGTAGAAACAAAAAAAATATCCTATGAAATATAGTCCACATTAAAGATAAAAAAACCCAGCACAGGGGTGTCGCGGTTCAGTAGTGACGTGGCATAGATGGATCAAGTATAATGATATCTGACAGTGATTAAAATCACTATAAAAAAAAACGCTTTGATGCAAATCTTTAGATAGTGTTTAATTTTAAAAAATTGGTGGACTATTCCAAAAGCTACATGATCTGCTAGTTCATTATTAATATCCTAATTAAGATAAAGTATGTCGAATGAAAAAGGGATTATTAAAAAATATTATTTCTCATAAAAAAATAATGTTGATCCATACACTTTTCAATATGTCATAGCATTATAAAGTTAAAAATGTAAAAAATAAAATCGAGAATTTTCACACAATAATAGCATTCGGTAGCCATTTTTAACGTGAAGATAAAATAAAGTCCGAAATTTTTTTTTTAGCATAATAAAGTATATTACATTAGCTTTAATTTAAGATATATATTAAAGTGTCAGACTTTACGGAACACTTTCAAAATTTAAGTTGAAAAAGTAAATTTTTTGTGAAAAAGTAGTAGTAGGGGGTATTATATGAGCTGGGACCCCCCCTAACCCACATGTTGTGGGTTTACCCTGCCATAGGTAGAATGGCGGTGTAAACAACCGGGGGAATATGGTGAAAGGTCGATGTTTCTCGTTCCTAGATAGCATATCGTTATACCATGGTACATGTTACCTTAGTATATGCATAGTATACCTAGGTAGATGGAACATCATATAGTATATCTTGATATATTACAGAAAATTGGAGGTATTTTGAAAATTGCATAATTTTAGAAATATGTGAAAATATTTGAATACAGAAAAGTGAAAGGTGTAATCAAGCGGCAACGGCGGCTATTAATCCAACGAAACCCAACTTTAGCTATATGACGTATATGCCTATGACCATAGAGAGTTCCCTTCCTTGACTAACGTATGTATTAAAACAGTAAATCAGCGGTTTACCCCTACATAGAAGGGAGGTGATGATGAAACTCATCATAAGGTGATCATTATTATGATATTAAAGTAAATAAATAAATATGTACAATATTATACTATTTCATAAGAATTGAGTTATTTTTTAATTATAGAAAAAATATTTATACGTTTGAAATAATATTTTATCAAATTCTTTTTTGATTATTCAGTCACACTACCGCGTTTGTTAATAGACATTTTTTGTTAATGTGTAATCGTTATTGTATAAAACATGTATACACATAATCTATTACATATATCTGTATACAAATATTTAGAAATCGAGAGTTTAAAATTAATTATTATGATATTAAAGTGAAATTACTTAAGTGATGAAGAAAAGAGTTAGTATACGGGGATATGTGTCCTATGATTTGCTGACCCCCTATGAAAATATGTGATTTTTCCGCATAAATGAGCATGAAATCGTTGATAAAGTCACAGTGTCATCAAGAACCATCAGCTCTAAAAAGAAGACTCTACTCTATGAATAATATGGCTGCCGAACCTGTAAGAAAACAGCGCTACATTTATATCGCACCAACACCGCCAGCCAAGATGATTGACTCTAGCAGTTACACTATTGCGTTCAGCGACAGAAAATTTTTGCAAGTGGGCCTGAATCCAAAGGATGACTTCAATGTTATGGTATGCATTATTACTCCTTCACGATATATTAGTATGTCAGCAGATTATTTAAATATTATTTACGGCATGAGGGATGAAATAACATTATTTCTACAATCACCTCCGGTAAAAGGAGAGAACATTATGTTATACCAAAATGTCGATTTTAATATAACCATAGTATTGTACCGTGATACCATGCATTTAGTATTAGAATCCAGAATAGTGGATGGGTGTTGACATAATACACTCGACACTATCACAATATGATATAACAGAGGACTGCTCTGTTTGTGTCCACAATAATGGTCGTTCATTTAAAAATTATTAACATTTTTATTTATAAATTATATTCATAAGCTTAGAATAACATGCTTGTTTTTTTTCTTTGAGAAAATTCACAAATTATACTTGTCAGCTCTTTTTAACTAACTATAATAATATTATATGAAGTGTCAAAATGATTTGTGTATTATTCGCATGTATTTATGTATTTAATGTATTAATTCATATAATTTATGATGACTTGTCAATAAAATAGCAACATTGCGAGAATGACACAATGATGATTGTGCGGGGATAAAAAAAAATACTATAAAAGGGCTGAGTGCTGAAGGCTTAAAGAGAGTCTGTCTCTAAATATTCATTGAGCTGGTCGAATCGTGCTTTCGACATCGATACGCCAAGTTCGTAATCATCATTGTGAAATTCTTAATTGTTAATTTATGAACTAAACATTTGAGTTCGTGTTATTTTATTATAACCTGATATTGTCAAAATTTATTATTAAAACAAGAAAAATCTTCAGTTAAGACTTTAAATCATTAAGAGTCAATGCTTATATTATCTTATAATTCAATTATTTAAAATTAATAATCTGAGTATAGAACGATAAAGCAATAGATCAAACAATTATATTAATATTTAAACTTCAATTAATTATTATTAACTAGTTCGGACCTTATGCATTATCACATTATATGGTATTCGTGAGATGGCCACCGCCTCTTCGTTGCCTCAGTGTATTATTACAGGTACTTACTAGTTGAATCATTTACAATATCTCTATAAGAAGAACCTTGATTATTACTTTTTATATCTACTTGTCTTTATTGTTCTAAACACTCGGACTCTACAACCCCGATAGAACCTCGTTGCTCACCAATTGACCAAATCCCCAAAATATCCAATCTTGGTCAAAAACACTCTACTCATCTTTTTTAGTTATTTTTGTATTATTACAGTGTCGAGTGTTATTAAATAACGAAAACATTAATAGACTTATGGACTTACAGTGTACTATTAACAGTGCAATATCAAGAAAAATAAAAACACGTTTACTATTAAACCATCAAATAGACCGCATAATATAATACGCCGACGGTAAATGGTCGGGCCCTAAAATTCAACAATCAAACAATGATGAAATAGTTAATTTTATAAGAAGTTTGAACGATAAAGAAATATGTGATACTTTTCCTAAAGGTGACAGTAATTACATAAGTAAGCTGAAGAATTTAGCATACAGTGTAATAGTTGATCGTTGGGTCAAGTTATGGTCCAAAGACATGCTTCAAATTAATGTGAGTTTAATGAACATAGATTGTCATAACCTTTATTGTTATTAAATTTATAATTATGTTTTAGGAAAAAGAAGAAGAAATGTGCGATGAAAATGATGGACCAACATTTTTCAATACAACAGTGTTTACCCAAGAAAATAGTTATAGTCCATGGGCTTCACAATGGCCGAAACCCAATCATATCAGAAAATTAACCTACATTAGTAATTTATAAACAATAACTTTATATATTGTACTAGTTTCTTATATTAAACTTATAATCTAAAATGAAAAACAAATTGTTGTTATTTGTATATAATATATTTATTTTATAATAATAATAATTGTTCAAAAGTTATGTGTGTAGCCGGTAAAGTTACACATAGCTCGAGTTGGCATTACCCCTCTCAATGTAATGACAACAATCGTGTCCGGCACCTACCGGCACCTTGCGAGCACTACGTCGGTGTACGCGATTGAAGTCGTACCGCATCTCTTGAGTCTGATGACTCGTGGCCAGTGAGCTGGCGTGCTTTAATTTGTTTCATTGTTTTTTGGTTGGTATTGGCCTGTTTAGGTGACAACCAACACTTTATATTACCAGTTACGTGCTATTACTCGAGTGCTCAACGGAAATAGAGCAGCGGAGGTTAACATTCCATACGCAAAAGAAACAATTAACTTGGGAAGCGTTTTGGCATTCGATTCAACGTTAATTGCACTATGGATGGCTGATGGCTGGGTGATGTTTCGTTTTGTTTGTTTTTTTTTCTACTATTATTATTCTAATGTTAATATATTGATATATTGAATATTTATTGTTTAAAGATCTATACCTGTTCCTGTACTTCATCCTGTCATATGCATAACACTAGAAGCAATTGCTAATTATGTTACCCTTAATGTATATTATTATTAATATTATATACAAAATATGAAAAAAAAAAAAAAAATTAACTTACAACAAAACAAACTTATTATTTACAAATTATAAATACCACTCTGAATATTCATCTACAGTCTCGCCATCCAAATTAAAATTAAGATAGGTAATTGGGGTGCGATAGTATGTCGGTACCAAATTCACCATACGGTGAGTCGAGTTAAGCTCAGTTAAACCTATGTTTAATATTCATAATCATAATCTTACTTTGAATCTATATTGGCTAATATGAATCGTCAAATGAAAACCAGTTTCAATGCTAATGCTAACATTCATCTTGTTTACGTGATACAATTAAGTTGTACATGCAAACAAGATCTAACATACGACGATTTTTAAATCCACACCTCAACTTTTGACTGCTATCTGTAAATAAGCTAAGTCTTTCTGTACAATAAAAAAAATCTATGTAAACATAATTTTCAACCTTTATAAAGTAAATTAGTTTCGTCTATTAACTATTAGTTTTAATTTTATTATCAAAAGTTTTACTAATATTTTTTTTACCTTCAAGCCAACGTTTATGCCCATAATCAGACTTTACGGTGAATAGCTTTTCATACAATTCTCGTAAATAAATCTCCGGATCGACCGATGTACGTTCAATTAAATTGTTAGTAATTGCCTCATATTTTTCATACTCTGCATTATTAACGAAATATTCGACCACTACATCAGCCCAAATGTTGATATATTGTCCGGTATGGTAGACATCTCTTAATAATGCCCTATGTTGATAACATTTATTGATTTCACAATCACAATATTTAAAATTGTAATCTTCTATTTTTACATATAAAATATATGTTAACGATAAATGAAGAATACTATTATCAATTTATTTTACTCACTTGTGGCATTGAAATCCATAATACATTTCTTGTACAAATTTTCAATCGTATTCATTTTATTTTTTGTTTATGATTGAATACGCTGGTTAGTTGAATAAATGATAGTTTGTATGCGTACTTGTTCAGCATAGAGCGTTACAAGTAAAAAAATCATACATTTCGAGGTGTTGAGATAGGGTATTTATATTAAAAACTATACTTAATGATCTATACCTGTTCATAGCTAATACTTTACCCTCTTACATGTATAACGTTATATACAATGATCCATGTCACATTCATTATTCAGTAATTATATACGAATTTTCAGGCAAATAAGCAACAAACACATCATAGTAAAATTAATACTTTCTATGAGTCCCGTCAAAGTTAAACATTTTTTAAAACTTGATTACATTATTAATAGTAACAGGTAGTATAACAATATTTTCTTAATAGTCACATTATTTAAGAATTATTAATATAGCAATTTTCTTAACATAAACACTTTATAAAAATGTAAATTCCCATATATGATCTTCATGTATGAAAATACTTTTTCTTATATTACAAGGCATATGCAATAGTACCATCAGAAAAAAAAAAAAACTAGAGATCTCAACTTCTATAAGGTGATTATAGACATATTAATGTGAAAATACTCAAGTGGTATAGGAAAGTGTCTATTATTTGGAAATATATGTCCCTGTGATAATTTATTTAGTTCTTATATGTAACGTAGTACGTAATCCATATATATATATATATATATCATCATATATTATCAGTCTATCTCTATCGATCACGATCGGGTTAGATCAATTCGATCAACAAAGATAAATATACTAAAGCATCTATTTGCATGTATAGTATATGTATTACACATGAAACATTTAAGTATATTATACTTATGACATACCATAAGTACCTACGATAACATCACCTAGCTGTACGAAGTGAATAGAGTAGACTTATTAGCGATTGTCTTACTATATTTATGACTATATACATTATCGAGTATGAACAGTATATACCTTATAATATGTGTCCAAAACATTATTTACTGATAATAGTTAATAATTGTTCTACTATACATCTATAATATATACCCGTGTTTAAATAGAATATAACTAGATATATTATGCTATTGAGCGACGGCTAGAACAGAAAGCTATGTAAACCAATTTTCATAATCCTGATAAATCTCGATTTTAGGTATATACACAATAGTTTGCTATTTCGTATGAATTCAGTTATTAAGATATTAAAGTGAAAATATTTATACATAAGAAGTAACCATAATATTTAATCAAATTCTTTTGACTATTAATCAGTTTGTGTTTATTATTAGACATTAATGCGAAACGTTAATGTATAAAGTATATGCATACATATATTTGAAAATCATGAGTTTAAAATTAATTATTATTATAATAAAGTGTAAATGCTTAAGGACGAATAAAAGGGTTAGTATACAGGGATTTGTGATATGTGATTTAACGAATCAAAACCAAACCAATAGTATATTATACCAAAGATGCTGACTTCAAAATATCTGAAGCGCTGTTCCGCAATAATAACCATTTAGTGTTGGAATCCAGAACGGTGGATGAGTGCAGAGTCTTATTAAATATAGAAAATTAAAAGTCCATTATCAATTAATGCATCAAATAGACTGTATATATATGTTAATAGACTATCTAAGCTTACGGTCATTATAAATTAGAGTACGTATACCATAATTATTATTAGGCACAAAAATTTAGTATTGTAATGATTTTAAAAATAAAAATAAAAATTATAAATATTCATATTAGTCATTTAACGAAAATAAATAATCAAATAACATTTCTATATAATAATTATCAACGTTATTGTCATCAGGTCTAATAAAATGATGTGTCATAATTTGTTTATCATGGAAGTTTACCCAAATATGTAATCCTTTGTGGTAGTAAACACCCCTTTTGAAGTCACATACTTCAAGCAGTGTATTTTCATGTCTAAATATCTCTTTTTACGTTGTGACCGATGTTATAGAACGAAATGTTTCTCTCAACATTTATGCACATCGACTTACACATGTGTTACACGCAAAAATGTGGGTTAGTATTACTCTACTGACTGTTGTCAGCCGAATGTTCACCTTTTTGTAATTGGTTCTAATATACAATATAACGTAGATAGATAACATTATAGTATATTTATATACCGATAATAAACCAGTATGAAATTAAATATACATTGTATCAAGTGTTAAAGGAAAGTGTCCAATATTTGATAATATACGTTCTGTGATAAATGATTTAGTTTTATAATATAATGTAAGTGGGCTTTTTATATATTGGCCTGTAACAACAACGTGGTTTGCCACTTGCATAACGACTAGCTATAGTAACAAGGGTCGCCACCACCTAGGCGAGGTGTCACATCTATCAGATATGATTACCGGACCATAGGTGGGATTTAATTTTAAGTTAATTAAAAGTATAATCTACGTTAATATGTCGTTATATGTATAAATAACTATAATACCTCATGGTTTATTAAACACAATTATCACAATTAAAGTTGTTTGTGGTTGATATGTAAAACATATCGTAAAAAATCATAAACGGTCCACCTTTGAATTTGTGACGTTACAATAAAAACAAAATAATTACGTTAGATATTATCTAACGTAGAACGTAATCCATATATATTTATCAGTGTATCTCTATTGATCAACAATCAAAAAATAGATACTAAAGTATCTATTTGCATATATAGTGTATTTATTACACAAGAAACATTTAAGTAAATTATACTTATGACATACCATAAGTACCTACGATAACATCACCTAGCTGTATGAAGTGATCAGTATTGATTTATTAGCAATTGTCTTACTATATGTATGCCTATATACATTATTGAGAATGAACAGTATATACCTTATAATATGTGTCCAAAACATTATTTACTGATAATATTTAATGATTGTTCTACTATACATCTATAATATACACCTATGTTTAAATAGAATACAACTAGATATAATATGCTTTTGTAAGATGGTTAAAACAGAAAGCCATGTGATCTAATTTTCATAATCAAGATCAAACTAGACTAGGTTTATTGGTATATGTACAATATTTTACTATTTCATAAGAATTCAGTTATTTTGTAATTAAAGCAAAAAAAAAAAAATGTGTACGTTAGAAGTAACCTTATTATTTAATCAAATTCTTTTGACTATTAATCAGTTTGTGTTTATTATTAGACATTAATGTGTAAACGTAAATGTATAAAGTATATGTATTCAAGAAAACGCTATCTTTTCATGAAAATGACTTCAGATATCAAACATCTATAAACATAAAATTATTAACATTAAAATTATTGATACATAGAACAAACACATTTTTTTAGTGTATGTTAGAAATAACAATGATCCAAACCATGCAAATACTATTAATTCAATTATTCAAAAAACTATGGCACAAGTGTTGGCAAGTGCTCCTTCAAAAATTGTAATTACATACGCAGTGATTCACTCATCATAAACTAATTAATTAATCGAAAAATAATAATAAAGTTAATCATTTTTTTATTACTCGATTAATTAAGTGAATCACAACTAACGCCTTTTGTTTTTCACTATTAAAATATTACGTAGAAAATTTCCTTTATTTTTTATTAAATTAATCTGCAATGTAATTAAATTAAACTAATTATTAAATTATTTTATGTATCTAATAATGATTGTACATAAGTATAAAGAAATAAACCATTTATTTATATTCATAAAACATCTTGCGAAATATTGTCAAAATATTTTTTTAGCAGTACTATAAAGTATGACTAAGATGCTGAAATAATTTCCAAAATCGCATGGAAAAAATTTCGAATTGCTTCATTTGTAATATTATATTATTACATATAATATTAACATATAATATGATGTTATCATTGTTAACATTGTCACATATTATGATTACACAAGATCACCAAAACAGGGTTCTCTTATTTAAAATACAAAATAACCCTTTAATTATGCGATAAAATCTCCCTCTTGTAGAAATTATTAAGTAACGCCTACACGCAGGGACCCCATTTTAATTAACCAATAAGAATACAAAGCCTCAGCTTCCAGGATCACGGTAGAGATCGCTGGGCTACCCCCTTCAGACTATAAAAAGTCATTTTCCCCCATCTAAACCAGTTCTTTTGACTATTTTAAAATACACAAAATCTACGACGTTTTACTCAAGATTTCACTTAGTCGATTTTATAATTAATTTGGACTTAGAATATTTTTTTTTAAAACTAAATGACACTTAGAAATTTTAAAGTGAATTTTGTTGTGGCGAATCTTTTAATTTAATTAAATTTGTTCAATCATTAATAATATTTTATTTTTCTTGTTGTGGAAATAATATTTTAAACATTACATATTTTTTAAATTATTTTATTTTAATAATAAATCCAACATAACTTTAGATTTTTATTTAATAATTTTTTTTTTATTTTATGGATTGAGTAGGTCTCTGCACCATTTACGCTTAAGGCGGCGAGGAGGGTTACCAGGGATGGTTAATGAAGACAGATTTTTTATGAGCTCATTTGGATGAGAGCTAAGGCGTAGGTGGAAACGTTTATAATAATTTTTTGCCTCTTCTTGAATTGTTTTCATACGTAGATCTTTATGCAGAGAGTGATTTGACACATATGGTGGACAATTGGTAATTTTTCTTAGTATTTTATTTTGGAACCGTTGAATTTTATTTAGGTTAGAAATTTTTGCGTTGCCCCAAAGCTGTAAGCCGTACGTCCAGATTGGCTTTAGGAGAGATTTGTAAAGGAGTAGTTTAATATTTAGGTTTAAGTGTTTGTTGTTGACGATTAGGGTTTTGAGTATTTGTAAGCGGGAGTTTAATTGTGATGTTTTGGCTTTGATGTGTTGAGCCCGAGTAATGCTGCGATCAATAGTTAGCCCGAGGTATTTAACGTTTGGGGATGAGGGAATCCGAGTGCCAAAAATTGATATCTCTGGACATGGTGCTAATTTAAGTGTGAATGTAGTATGTACTGATTTGGCTTGGTTTATTTTAAATCGCCACTTTTTGTACCAATCTTCCATAAGTGAGAGATGATTTTGTAGGTTTTTGGAGGCTATAATAGGATCTGAACTGGATGATA